CTCCCTTCCTTCCTTCCTTGCTCCCTTCCTCCCTCCCTTCCTTCCTTGCTCCCTTCCTCTCCCTCCCCCTTTCCCCTCCCCTCTCTCCCTCCCTCCCTACCTCTGTCGTTTGCTCCTCTTCTTCCTAATCCTCTCCTCCCTTTTCTTTTACCTCTCCCTCTTCCTTTTACTTCCTCCCTCTTTCCATCCTTGTCTCCCTTTCTCACACAAATTCCGACTCTGTCCTCATCTTCCTTTCCCACTCTCTGTCATAAGGGGACCACTCCAAAGGTTGTGGTCATAGGAGTAGAAGATAAGTTTTACCCAGTCTTGGATGCATACATGTGGAAGGTTACCCCCATGAACAAAAATAAGACTGAGCCTAAACTGCTCAACTGTTTATCAGTGAATTTCATCTGTATGCACTTCTACCTTACTGAGGCAAAGATGTCATGTATTTTGACATATCCTATTGAAATGGGTCATAGGTGGGTAAAAGTGTGTTATCACAATAGCTTCCTCCTAATGTGAGTGATTTATGATAAAGAAGAATTAAATGTTAATCAATTAACTGGGCAAATTACTTTCACATGATCCAGTTTTGACATAAGATATTTTGAAGATCTATTTCCTGTATACAAAGAAATAATTCATAGTTACTCCCTAACAATCAATCCAAATGGGAACCTAAATGTTGCTTGCTTACTTTCAGCCTAATTATAGAAATGAAAGATAATACAAACACGCCAGAGCAACATCTATTGCTGATGGTACTAGGATGAATACACCATTAAGTTTAATAGAGGTAGAACACAAACTATGAGATGACCTGTATACCTTTTTTGAATGGGCAAATGAAAATGATGTGACCGTCAATGCTGATAACACACCCCAGAGAACTGAAGAAGTGTTTAAAGGAATTGGTTGAATGCAGTACCAGCAATCCGCCAGTCAGTGGTAGGGAAAGAATGAGGGCTAAATCAAGTTCTAACCCTCATCAAGTTCAATTCTAACTAATTGAAGGGTGGGCAGCCTCTTTCATAGAGCTCTTGCTTTAACTTGCACAGAGTAATAAGCCAAAGAAAAAAAAAAGAGGTGATCAGTGTGAATGAATTATTTGGGTGAATATGAAAAAAGTAAGAAAAATTACATGTCAAAGGTATATTATGTGTATAAAACATTTATTGGATAAGCCAATGTGTAATTATACATTTCAAAACACCAAAGTAACCCTTTTTATGGTAGATATGACATATTAAGGGGGGGGGAGAGAATTAAGAAAATTTCCAGAAATTTAATATCTTACACATTCATGTATATATGATATATTATATCTAGAATAAGAAAAATAACTTATTAAGTAATTAGTCATTTCAAGGTCATATTCAGATAATTAATAAGTATGGCATCTGTTAAGTATACAGCAGGAGAAGTAAATGTTTATTTATCTCTCTCTGAATGGGAAGCTTTCTTCTTTTTTTTCCTTTTCCTTTTCTCTTCTTCTTTTTTTCTTTCCTTTCTTCCTTCTCCTTTTCTCTTCTTTTTTTCTTTCCTTTCTTCCTTTTCCCTTTCTCTTCTTTTTTTCTTTCCTTTCTTCCTTTTCCCTTTCTCTTCTTTTTTTTTCTTTCCTTTCTTCCTTTTCCCTTTCTCTTCTTTTTTTTTCTTTCCTTTCTTCCTTCTCCTTTTCACTTCTTTTTTTCTTTCCTTTCTTCCTTCTCCCTTTCTCTTCTTTTTTTTTCTTTCCTTTCTTCTGTCTTCTTCTCCTTCTCCTTCTTCTCTTTTTTCTTCCCCTTCTCCTTCTCCTTCTCCTTTTCTCTTCTTCTTTTTTTCTTTCCTTTCTTCTTTCTTGTTCTCCTCTTTCTTCTCTTTCTTCTTCTTCTTCTCCTCCTCCTCCTCCTCCTCCTTCTCCTTCATCTTCTTTTTCTTCTCCTTCAAGAACTATAACTTTGTGTGTATTTCTTTATATATTTCAGTAACCAAGAACTAAATGTATCCATATTTAAATATTCAAATTGATTGTCATTAGTTTTTTTTCTTTTTCTAAATCCTTATTTCTGATGTGGTTGATCTCAAGGTCTATATATATGTTGTTTGTCTTCAAAAGAAGATGAAATATTATGTATATCTGTATTTATGTTTGATTTATATATGCACAGACTTTCATCACAATTGTCTAAAAAAAAAAAAATAGTAAGAGAAAGAAAAGGTTTGACTGATTTTCCTCCCAACAGCAAAGTTTAGTGAGTGCTGCCTCATACGATTTCCATGACAAATGGTACCACAATTGGGCAAACTACAAGGGCACAGTGGTATGTCTTAAGACCATCACCATGAACCAAAGGAGACTGGAGCTCTCACGCACTACCATGATTGAAATGAGGTGGGACAGCTTAGCTTCCTTTTCTTATTTGTTTATTTATTAATTTTATTATTAAGTATATGAGTATTAATGTTACAAAAGTTCTGTTCATACTGAATGCAAAGGAAGTCATGTCTTTGGGCATTGATTAGCTGAAAATATGAATAACTCAACTCAGTTTAGGTCAAGTGATGAATATATGAATATTTTCCCTTAAATAGAGTACTTTTAAGTATTTTTATGTAGTAAATTGAATGTCATAGGCATATCTTTACCTTTAAGACATAGAATATTTTTACAGAAATATGCGTGAAATGAAACAGTACAATGTGTGTGAATTCATCGGAGCCTTCGTGCAACCCAATGGGGTGACGCTTGTGACAGAATACTGCACGAGAGGTTCCTTACTCGATATTCTTGCCATGGAAGACATACAGCTCAACAGTCTCTTCATATCATCCCTCGTCCATGATTTATTAAGGGTAAAAAATTGCCTATAATTTCAGACTCTCTCTCTCTCTCTCTCTCTCTCTCTCTCTCTCTCTCTCTCTCTCTTTTTTTCTCTCTTTTTTTCTCTCTTTTTTTCTCTCTTTTTTTCTCTCTTTTTTTCTCTCTTTCTCTCTCTCTCTTTCTCTCTCTCTCTCTC